GTATTACCAAGTGGGTAGGGCTTCTGTCTTCTCTGGGAGCAGGGATGGTATCTTAGTCATATTGTTTTCCTTGGGATGAGGTCTGTGCCTGATGTACAATGGATACTCCATAAATGTTTGATAAACCAATGAAGAATGAAAAAAAGCCTAGTCAGGCTCCTATCCAAAGTAGGAGCTATCTCTTTAACATTCTAACATTCTTGACTTCCTGTCACTTTACCTCAAATTGAACAGATTCCATCATGGGAACTTCATTCTCCCCAAACTAGCCAGTGACATGTGGGACAGCTCTGGCCAGGGCTCTGGGACTGCAGTGTACTTTCCCTGCATGGTCCAGGAGCTGTGATGTGGCTGTGGTCTGGGGGTATCCTGCCCCATGGAGTTGCGCCGCACAACCCTGGCTCCAGTTGCCAGAAAGCTCTTTTTAATGTTGAACCAAAATGTGCCTTCTTTTTTTTTTTTTTTTTGAGACAGAGTTTCACTCTTGTTGCCCAGGCTGGAGTGCAATGGCGCAATCTCGGCTCACTGCAGTCTCTGCCTCCCAGGTTCAAGCGATTCTCCTGTCTCAGCCTCCCAAGTAGCTGGGATTACAGGCATGTGCCAACACACCTGGCTAATTTTGTATTTTTAGTAGAGATGAGGTTTCTCCATGTTGGCCAGGCTGGTCTTGAACTCCCAACCTCAGGTAATCCACTCGCCTCAGCCTCCCAAACTGCTGGGATTACAGGTGTGAGCCACCGCGGCCGGCCAGTGTGCCTTCTTATAGTGTCTACTCATTGGTCTTTGTTCTGCCCAGTGATAACAATGGGATAACGCCTACTACACAACTTCACTGTGAAACCCTTCTCCTGTGCTGAGATTAAACAAACTCTAAGATTATTAAATAGTATATTTTCCTTGATAGCCTAGCTTTTGATGTCTTATGTATAAATAAACCAAAGGAAGTGAGCAGTCATATTGCTAATCTGCTAACTCATATCTATTGAATGATAAAGTTTTAAAAGTTTCCCCAGGTAAGTTTAAGATTCAAACACCATCTATTGAGCACGTAGATTGTGTGCCAGGTAGTAAAATAGGTGCTTTCACACACATTGTCTCAATTCCTCAAACAATCCTGTGAGGTAAGAATTCTCTCTGTATTTGAAACTTGAGGAAACATGCTCAGAGTGCAAGAAGCTTCCTTGCCTGAGATCACCTAAGCAGGAACCCTCAGAGCCAGCAACTGAATCTTGGTCCCTGTGATGTCAAGTCCACTGCTCTTCCCACTGCAGAACATGGCCTCTAGATTAATGCCACTGATTCAGGAACATCTCCGACAGTCTTGAAATACCCCCATCTTCCCTTGTTGTTTTTTTCCTTCTGGCTTCTTCTATTATAGTCTCTTTATTTGAAACTCTGTAGGCCAAGGCCAGAGCTGATACCGACACGGAGCCAGTGCAGATAGCACATCAGATGCTAGGGGTCGCTGGGAGGATTAAGGGATTTAATCTGCTAGGAACACCTGTACTTGAAGTGGAGGAGGTTAGGCGGCCACAGTTGCTGCTTCATTAACATAGAGGTTTTGGATTTTTTTCTCTTGTGGTTTGTTTTTTAAGTGGATTGGCAGACTCCTTATTGCTTAAGAGTGGCTTTCTAGGCAGGCCACTGACATCTGAATTCATCATTGACAATAAATATAAGAAACTGGAATAAAAAAGATTCTCTGTTATTTGCTTTTGTTCTCCAATGGTTTGGTTAACTCAGGGTAAGGCTGAGTATCAGGGTATATCGCACCGAAGAATAACAATCCATTCAGTAATGTTATAGTTATCCTCAATCTAAACATGTTAACTGTCATTTTCCTCCTTTTCAAATAAAATACTGGAAAACTGTCATTTAATGGTAAACATTTTTATCTTAAAGGGCAAATATGGGGGGGGCTTAATGATAAACACAGAGCACTGCTGATAATAATAATAATTTAAAACCACAACTAAGTATGACAGCATGAAGGGATGCTCAGTGTATTAATATTTGGCTGAAAATTATAGGAAGGGGCATGATACAGCCATAGTTCAGTGAATCTGAAGGGCTTATCGACCCCAGCAAGTAGCCCCGGCTGAAACAAGTGCACTTTGCACCTGTGATAGGTCTTGGTTGTTTACTCTAGGGTCAGAAATTCTCTTTTTTGGTATTTGGATCACCTGAGGTGTTTGCTGAAACTCCAAGCTCTGGCCTCGTCCCAAAGGAGTCAGATTCTCTAGCACTAGAGTGGTTCCCAGGAATCTGCATTTTGGGCAAGCACCTCAAATAATTCTGGTATCTCTGACACCCAGAGCCACTATAAAATGTTCATGGACCTCAGGCACTTTTGCCATTGTGGGCCCTTTATTGCATAAAAAAATTAAATACAATTTGCAACTGCATTGACATGAACACAAATGAAGTCGAGGCTGGATTATATATTTTGTTCCTGATTTTAAAAGAAACTAAAAATCTTTGTGGCCTCCTAAAAGATTCGTGGGCCCTAGCCATTGTCTACTGCACCTAATGGATAAGGCAGCCTGCTGCTGCTCCCTTGATTCTGTGACATTAGGGGGAAGGCTGAGCTTTTATTTATTTTTTATTCTTTTAAGGATAGAGGTTTTACTATGTTGCATGAGTTGGGCTCAAGCAATCTCCCTGGCTCAGCTGGGATTACAGGCACATTCGGCTGAGTTTGTATTCTTTGACGCCCAGGCTGGAGTTCAATGGTGTGATCTCGGCTCAGCGCAACCTCCGCCTACTGGGGAGGCTGAGGCAGGCAGATCACGTGGTCAGGAGTTTGAGACCAGCATGGCCAATATGGCTGAAACACTGTCTCTACTAAAAAAAAAAAAAAAAAAAAAAAATACAAAAATTAGCTGGGCATGCGTGGTGCACCTGTAATTCCAGCTACGCCTCAAGCGATTCTTCTGCCTCAGCCTCCCGAGTAGCTGGTACTGCAGGCGCGTACCACCATACCTGGCTAATTTTGCATTTTTAGTGCAGACGCGGTTTCACCATGTTGGCCAGGCTGGTCTCAAACTCCTGACCTCAGGTGATCTGCCCACCTTGGCCTCCCAAAGTGCTGGGATTACATGTGTAAGCCACGGCACCCAGCTGAGGTTCTCTTTAATCAATGATTTCACTTGCTCAGTCAGCTTACCTGTGAAATGCAGGATGAAAAGGGACACAGCTACCGTGGTGGCTGACAGCCCCCCTTTCACTCTCTTTTCTCACATCATTCTCTGCAGATAGTCAGAACCTCTTGCTGCCTTACGGTCTCTATGAAATCAGGAAATTATCCCCCATAATCTGTTTCATACCATAGAAATCCATGCACAACAATGTGTTAACTCTTTTCCCACGTCTCAGCATCTCAAAGATTTAACTCTAATTGAATTAAATGTTTTGTCTCAAAATGCCTTGTAAACTTTCCTGACCCCAACCTACACTAAAAAATACATTTTATATCAGGCCCAATACATACACAGATGTAACTGAAAAGTTTTATGAGATATACTTACCCTGAAATATTTTTCATGAAAGGTTTCCTGAAATAATAGAGTATTCCAATTCAGTGAAATTATTTATTCCATTTAAAAACAGAAAACAAAAAACGCTGGTCTCTGTAATCCCAGCACTTTGGGAGGCTGAGGCAGGCAGATCACGTGGTCAGGAGTTTGAGACCAGCATGGCCAATATGGTGAAACCCCATCTTTACTAAAAAAAAGAAACAAAAATTAGCTGGGCATGGTGGTGTGCACCTGCAATTCCAGCTACTCAGGAGGCTGAGAGAATCGCTTGAACCCGGGTGGCAGAGGTTGCAGTGAGCAGAGATCGGGCCACTGCACTGTTGCATGGGCGACAGAGCGACACTCCACCTCAAAACAAAAAACCAAAACAGAACAAAAAAACAAAAAAAGCTGGTCTCACCTGCTACAATGATTTTATAATAGGTCACTATCTGCAGTTTGAAAAAGTGGTCAAAGGAGTAGCAAGCATAAAAAGTAAAATATCTGTAGTAAATGATGTCTATTTCTGCAATAGGAATATACCAAGAATAACAGCTACCTTATCTTTGGCCACATTCTCTGTCCCAATGTACTTGATGAGGTATTGTCAATAAGGTCTCATTTTTATTATTCACTCATTCAAATATTTAATAAGCACCTACTACATGCTGGGCACTGATTGTGGCTCTGCAAATAACAGCAATAATCAAAGTCCCTACCCTTAAGGAGTTACATTTTGGTTGGGAGAGATGCTAATGAAATTCATAGGTAAATACATAGTGGTCAGATGGAGATAAGTGCCACAGAAGGACTCTTTTCAGACCCTTCTTTCCCTGGGCATGCTTATGTAACAACACCCTTCTTCCCTCCATGAAAACACATACTTTCTTTGGATTTACTGATACTCTTTACCTCGAGGACAGTAGGATAGCCAGCTATTAGTTCAACTCAAAGGTGACTTTGCATATCTTTTCTGTTGTGTATTTGTTTCATGCATGGTTACCCAGAGATCAACATGCTTTTCTAATTTCTAAATTCCTTCTTAGACAGTGATGGTGATTAATTATCCCTGGATCTTGCAAGTGTAATGAGAGTGGGATCAATTTCACTGAGCTAAGTCTTTAGTCACTGTTTGGGGATTTTGAGTCCTTTTTAGTCCCAGGATTGGTGTTCCTAGATGTCCAAGTTCCTTGCCTGAAGAGGCCTCATACTGAACCCACAACTACTTTTCTCCTGATTGGTATCCTGCTCTGAATGACAGGGGTTATCCAGTGAGAATTCTGTAGCTGTTACAAGTGAGATCACCTCAGAGCAAGGCTAGATTCCAGACCCAGTGGATCCATTAGACCAGAGGCTGACAAAGCTTTTCGGTAAAGGAACAGATAGTGAATATTTTTTCTGGGCCACACACTCTCTGTCACTACTCAACACCGCCGTCGTAATCCTGAAGACATCGTAGACAATATGTAAATGAATTGCATGGCTGTGTTCTAGTAAAACTTTATTTGCAAAAGTAAGCAGCAGGCTGGTCCCTGGTTGAGGCTGAGGAAGACATTACTTCCTGCTGGAAATACTTGGGACTTACATTTGAGACAAGCTGAAAGTATGGGATGAGGGAGGAACAAAAGCTTACAAACAAAGAGCAGCCAGTTTGGCCAAAGAGGAATATGCATGAAAGAAGGTGGCAACAGATTGTGCACATGTACCCTAGAACTTAAATAAAAAAAAAAAAAAAAAAAAAAAAAAAAGAAGGTGGCAACAGACTGAAATGTAATTCGGTAAGGACAAATACATTTACAAACGTGCAAACTGACCTTTTGCTGGTTCATCTTTATTTTACAGTCACACTACTTAAAAATACATATTTAAAAAATATTATTTTAAAAGTCATCTTCCACTAGAATCACAAAGTTCTTCCTTGTATCAAAAGTTGTGCCACTATCCTGGTTACTTGTGGATTCACCAAGCAGTCCAGCAAGTCGTCCGTAGAAATGAATGTTTGAGAAGGAGCCGTAGTAGCATTTGAGGCAATCTGTTCCTTAATTGCCTTTTCACTGTTCATTATTTGTTGTCTCTTGGCACAATGCAGTTTTCCAAAGTGTTCTCCATCCTTGTCAACAAAGTCTTTCCCATCACTTCCAAATATGCCTCCTCTTTCTGAAGGTGGTTCTTCGGACCTCTGTGCCACAGGTACCAGATCAGGGCCAAAGGGACTTGCTGCCTCCGGTTTGCCTGTTCCTGTGGTCAAGTTCTGGCTACCTGTTTGGCCCACCTCCATGTGGCTGTACACATTTAATTCTTCCTTTTTCATGCGCTCTCCATCTGTTCTCGGTGCTTGGATTTCTACCACCTTAGATGTTCTGCAACGATCAAAAAATGCAGAAACAGCTGCATTTAAGTAGCAACAGTTCACTGCATGGGATGTTTCCTCAACCTAAGGGAAAAGAAAAACCCTTTAAAATGGTTACATACATTTAGTTACACTGGAAAACAAAAGTCCTAGTCAGGGCTGGTTTACCACAGGAAACTTAACTGCCATGATGAAGACCAGAAGCCGCCTACCTCAGTGGGGTTTAACCAGGCTCTGGTATTTTGTGGATTCTCTGCAGTTTTCAGGGCACACACAAGCATACGAGTGATTGCCTCTTCTACCCGGGCCAGGTGATCCTCTTCCTGAATTAAAAAAAACACACTTTTAACTTTTGTTAAGTCTCATGGCTTTTTAAGAGAGAATAAAGTCTCTTTTAATTTCATCTTCTGTTCTCTCATTAATACAAGTTTTGTTATAGAAGGAATGAATATGCTATTGGTAGAACCACAATTTTTGTGTATTTACTATCACCTGCATCTAGAAGAGTTGCAGAATATTTCACCAAATTTAAGTATGTATTCTATCTATAAGACACGGCCTTAAGTATCAATCACCTTATGATATTTTCTCCAATCTTTTCCATTATTTGACATGTTTAAAGTTTTTTTTAAAGTACCACATACAGAGGAATAATCCCTATAGAGTCTGACAAGCAAATTATTTCAGAGATGGAAGAAAAATTACAATAAACATGCTTGGCTACAAGAGTGAGATGGCTATCCATCTAAACATGGCTTTCTTAAGACAGAGTAAGCATAAGGTATAGCATTAATGAGGAACTGCATTAAAATCAACAACTTCTGTTTACCAAAAATCACCACAAAGAAAAAAAACTAGATGCCTGTAACATATATAACTGATAAAATATTAATGTGTAGAATAATCTACACATACCAATAAGAGAAATGGGCAAATTTTTTAAAATGGGCAAAAGACACAATGACCAGCACTTTTAAAAGGAGCAATCAGATGACTAATAAACATATGAAGATATGTTTAGCCTCCAGGGAAGTGCAAATTGAGAAACCCATGAAATTGGCAAAAAGGGGCCTGATGGTTCCACGTGGGACATTGAGAGACAAAAGTCTTATACACTAATGGGAAAGCAAATTGATAGAGACATTTGGAAAACATGGGTGGCATTATCTCGTAAACTTGAGTATTGTATACCCTACGGACCAGCAATACCACTCCGAGATTTATGCACAGTCTAGAGAAACTCTTGCACATGTGTGCCAGGAAACATGTATAAGAATATTCTGTTCACAGAAGCAAAAAATTGAACACCAAATCATCCATCAATAGAACAATGAATAATGTATAAATTATTATAAATATAAATTATTGATATATATACATATATTAATATATGAATAGTAATTGAAATAGCAGCATGAATATGAATAATGAATAAATTATGGAGTATCTTAACACAGTATTATATCACAGTGAAAATGAATGAACAGCTTACATGTGACAGCACAAATGAATCTTAGAAACACAATATTGAACTTAAAAAGGCAAATCTCCATGATGAGATACCACTTCACACTAGGACAGCACTAATAAAAAAAAAGACAGATATTAACAGGTGTTGGTGAGGATGCAGAGAAATCAGAATCTTCATACATTGCTGGTGGGAATGTAAAATGGTGCTTCAGAAACCTGGGAGTTCCTCAAAAGGTTAAACACAGAGTTACCATATGTAATGATTAATTTTGAGTCAAGTTGGCTAGACTATAGTGCTCAGTTGTTTGGTCAAACAATAATCTGGATGTTGCTGTGAAGATATCTTGAAGATATTACTAGCATTTACAATCAACTGACTTTATGTAAAGGAGATTACACTCAATAATGTGCGTGGTCCTCATCCAATTAGTTGAAGTCCTTAAGAGCAAAAACTGAGATGTCTTAGAGAAAAAAATTCTGCCTCAACACTGTAATAGAAGTCCTATGTGAGTTTCCAGCCTGCCAGCCTGCCCTACAAATTTCAGATATGCCAGCCCCCACAATCAAGTAAGCCCATTCCTCAAAGTAAATCTCAATCTCTTGTTCTCTATATAAGTACAGACATTTCTATGTATTATATAGACATCTACATTTACGGACATGTAGATATCATGTAAAGATATCTATCTACATATATACTCATAGGAATGGAATTGCTGGATCATATGGTATATCAGAGTTCCTCAGAAAAACACAACCAACAGAAGATGTAGCCAGATAACCAGATACAGATATAACATAAAACATTAGATTCATTATATACCGTAAGATTTAGCCATGCTATAGCATGCATCAGTATTTCACTCCTTGTGATATTTGAAAAATATTCCATTGTACACATATACCACATTTTATCCACTTATCAGATGATTGATATTTGAGTTGTGTCACTTTGGGCTATTATGAATACTACTACTGTGAACATTCGTGTAGAAGTTTTTGTGTGAACCTACATTTTCATTTTTCTTGGGCATACACCTAGGAATGGAATTGCTGGGTCACATGGTGTATCAGTCAAGGTTCTCCAAAGAAAGAGAACCAATAGAAAAAATATATATGTGTGCATATGTGTACAGAGATAAGACAGATGGATAGATGGACAGATAATGTGACAAAACTTTTTTGTTTAAACAAGAGAATGAGAAGCGTGAACGGAATACATAAGGAAGGGATTGGGAAGAACACAGCACCACTCGAACAGAGCTAAAATCTCTACTCTTTTCCAAATATGTTATTCATGAAAGCAATATCAGAACCTGGAGTTAACTTGAGTTATATAAGTATGGTAGGCTCTAAAACCTAAGAGCTTTTTGGAGCTAAATTTGGCAAAAAGAAGGAATTATTGTCCAATGTTGAAGAGACAATGATAAAAGCAACATATGACAGAGAAAGATAGGATTATGTAACTCCAATTGTGCATTCCAGTTTTTCAATAAAGAATGAGTGGCCTTCAAACAGAATTACACAGAAAGATGTTGAAGAAGGAACTGGAGGTCTGGTTTGGTGAAGGACAGAAATCATCCACTCAAAATCAGCATGAAGTTCTTAGCTACCACACTTCTAAGTATGGAGTCTGTTTATACTCAATGATACTAATCCTTTGGAAAATTATAGAAAAGATTACTAAATAGTGTATAATGAGCCTTTTAAAAACACTGTGGTGAAGTCATTCATGTTACTGAAGCCACGTAAATTCAAATCTAAATAAAATATGAACAAACACTATCCTATGGTAAATTAAAAAACAGTATATCACAACCAAGTGGTATTTGCTCCAGAAATTAACGATGAATCAATATTAGGCAACCAATTGATATAATTTATTGCACTACCAAATGTTTACTAAAGAAGAATATTATGTAATCTTCTTTATCAATTCAACAACATTCAATACCTTTTCCTGATTTTAAAAAACAAAAAGTAATGAAATAGAAATTGATGGATACTTAATATGATAAAACACATACAACTCAGCCCCAAATCTAGCATTTCATAGTCAGGAACAAGGCAAGGATGCCCACTATCTCCACTATTATTAATGAACTGGATGGATTAGCCAATGTAATCAGACCAAATCTCCACCCCCACCCCACAATTATAGGCAAACAAATTAGAAGGGAAGAAGAAAAACTATCTTAATTTTCAGGTAATCTGAGAGATACCTGAAAATCCCAGAAAGTCAGTATAAAACTACCACAAAATAAAATAATTCAAATTAACACAAAAATCAATAGCTATCATATACACTAATAATATCCACTTAGAAGACAGAATGGAAGAGAAGACCTTACCCTAGCAGCAAAAAAAGATGAAATATGGCAGTCCTTCCTTACCTGCAGTTTTGCTTTCTACGGTTTCAGTTACCCATGGGTAATCTCAGTCAGAAAATATTAAATGAAAAAATCCAGAAATAAACAATTTATAAGCTTTAAATTTCATGTAATTCTGAGTAGTGTGATGAAATCTCCCACCATTCCACTCTACACAGTACACATTACCTGCCTCTGAGTCACTCAGTAGTTAGCTCAGTGATCAGATCACTGTCGTGGTATTTGCAGGGCCTATATTCAAGGAACCCTTATTTTACTTGATAATGGCCCCACAGTACAAGAGTTGTGATGCTGGCAATTTGGATATGCCAAAGACAAGGCGTAAAGTGCTTCCTTTAAGTGAAAAGGTGAAAGTTCTCGACTTAAGGAGAGAAAAAACCAGCATGCTGAGGTTACTAAGGTCTATGGTAACAAATCTTCTATCTACAAAACTGTGAAGAGAAAAAATTATGGTAGCTTTGCTATCACACCTCAGACTGCAAAAGCTGCAGCCACAGTGCATAAGTGCTTAGTTAAAATGGATTAAGTTTGTATCTTAGTTAAGACATTACATTTGTAGGTGGAAGGCATGAACAGAAAAGTGTTGACTGATCACAATCGGGTTTGGTAACATTCAGGGTTTCAGTAATCCACTGGGGTTCTTGGAATATACCCCTCAAGGATAAGGAGATACTACTGTGTTTAGGAATAAACATTTAAAAGAAATGTGCAAAGCTCATGTGAGGAAAACTTTAAAACACAGCTGTAAAAACAAAAACAAACAAAAAAACCTGGACTTGGATACGTGGAAAGGTACCTAATTTGTGGACAGGACAATTCAAAATCATAAGGCTCAGATAAAATTTAATATGGATTAAAAAATCAATAGGTTTTGGTTTTTTTTTTCTGATGCTAGACAAGCTGATTTTAAAGAACACATAAAAAAACAGAGGCAAGAATAGCCAGGAAAACCCTACAAAAAAAAGCAATGGTTAGTCCTACTGATTTTAAAACGTAAGACCTCACTAAATAAATAGGAAGAAAGACCAGTGGACAAAATAGACCCACATACGTTCAGATATCTAGTATATGATGAAACAGACATTTCAAATCATAAGGGAAAACAGACTAAAATAAATGATGGTCCTGACAATCCTATTATCATTTTGGAAAAGATAAAATTAGATCTCAACCTTATACTATATCCTAGTGAAAAACTTCCAAATGGATAAGAGATCTAAATGCAAAAAACATGAAACAATCTAAATTCTAACATAAAACATTGGTGAATTCCTTTATGACCTGGAAAAAGTCATATGACCTTGGTTTCTAATTATGACTCAAAAACAATAAAGTTCAACAACAGATTTTGTTGGTGAGGCTGTGGAGGAAACAAGCACTTTCATTTACTACTAATGGAAATGGAAAATGGCACAATCACAACGAAGCTGAATTTGGCAAAACCTAACAAAATTAAAGATACATTTACCCTATGACATGGCAAATCCAGTGTTAAGATCTTCCCCAAAGACACACTTCAACAAATATAAAACAATATATGCACAAGGTTATTCAGTGGCATTATTTGTAATTACAAAAGACTGGAAACAATGCAAACATCTATCCTTAAAGGAACTAATTAACAGTAGAGCACTCATATAATGAAGTACTAGACAGTGGTTGAAGAAAAATATGAATGTTTCTCTTTACTATTATGTAGTGAAATTCAGGATATTATTGTTGAAAAAAGCAAGGTGTGGAATACTATGGTTTATTACTTTCTGTGGAATAAAGGATAGAAAATAAAAAATATATTTGAATAAGTATATAAATAAGTATACAAAGATGTATTTATATGCTTATGCACTTTGTACATATAAGACTGTTTACATACTTATTTACATATATAAATATACGTATTCATTTACTTAATTTTATATATAGATATATGTTTACAAGAAACACTGAAAATGATAAACCAGAAATGAATAAAAATGGATCTCTATCAAGGTTGGGAAAAATGGAGTGGATGGAACAGGGATGAAAGGCAGACTTCCCTGAGTATAACTTTTAATATAGTTTTGACAAGTTAAATGTTCTACATATTCAAAATATTAAATTAGATCAAAATTTTAAAAAAGTAAATCCTAAAATTGAAAATGGAAACAAATGAACTTAACTAAATATCCAATTAGTAAAATAACCATAAATGAAAAGAAGTCCTTCACAATGACTCCTGAATAAAGGACTTTGTATCTATCCCTCTTAGTAATAGATACAGTCTAATAATAAAAAGAATTGCAAATAAATTTTAATTTTTACTGGCAAGTTTTATGGTTAGTAGTAATATTTCTATTTGAATTTTGGAAATATAAATTTGACATCTTTTTTTTTTTTTTTTGGGAGATGGAGTGTTGCTCTGTCACCGGGCTGGAGTGCAACAGCGCAATCTCGGCTCACTGCAACCTCCGCCTCCTGGGTTCAAGTGATTTCCCTGCCTCAGCCTCCTGACTAGCTGGGACTACAGGCACGTGCCACCATGCCCGGCTAATTTTTTGTAGTTTTTTTTAGTAGAGATGGGGTTTCACCATGTTGTCCAGGATGGTCTCGATCTCCTCACCTTGTGATATGCCCGCCTCAGCCTCCCAAAGTGCAGAGATTACAGGTGTGAGCCACCGCGCCCAGCCTAATTGACATCTTAAAAAATATATTGCTGGATACAGCAAACAAGTAAGTATATTGCTGGGTTTTTTTTTGTTTGTTTTTTTTGTTTTTTTTTGTTTTTTTTGAGACGGAGACTCGCTCTGTTGCCAGGCCAGAGTGCAGTGACTTGATTTCGGCTCACTGCAACCTCCATCTCCTGGGTTCAAGCGATTCTCCTGCCTCAACCTCCTGAATAGCTGGGATTACAGGTGCGCCACCATGCCCAGTTAATTTTTGTATTTTTAGTAGAGATGGGGTTTCACCATGTTGGCCAGGATGGTCTTGATCTTTTGACCTCATGACCCGCCCACCTTGGCTCCCAAAGTGCTGAGATTACAGGCGTGAGCCACCATGCCTGGCTTTATGTTACTGTTTTTAAGGACCCAGATTTTCAGTGTAAGAGAAGAGATAAAAATACAGAAACAAATAAGAAAAAATTCTATCATGTTAAACTTGAATTACTTTTATAGTTCAAAAGTCTGATGATTGGGTGTCATGCTCATGTGTGAGACATGCCTCCCTTAAGCCTTGTTATGATGTCAGCACATTACCTGTCTAGATATATTTTTTAAACACGTGAATTAGAAATATATCAATATCTATCAATCAATCAATCAATCAATCATCTATCTATCTCACATTCTAGCTACATCACTGAAAGAGCCTAGAAACAGTGACACCAAGGAGCAATGAACAGCTTTAGAGCTGAGATCTCAGTTTCTAAAGGCCATTCCCTACAAAAAGAACTGTGGCTACCTGGAGAAATTATAGACTTCCAAGTTTGGGGCACTAAAGAAAAAAGGGTATCCTGAGATATCTTCCTGTGCCAGAAAGCCAGGATACACTCAAAGTCTAATTAATGGGGACACATCAAAAGGGCACAGGCCAGCTTGAAGTTTCACTAGAAGGACAGATAAGACCCAAATTTAAAATTATCTTGTCAAGCTGGAATGCTCAACCAAACCAACATGATGAAAATTAACAGGGATGACTGTGAAATACTGGATTTAGAATTAAAATCAGCTTCATAGGTACAGGATAGGATTCAACCTGCCTGACAGCAGATCATCTGAAAAAAGCACCAACATTTTAGAGTTGAATATGAAACTAAAGTGAAATGAGATTACTAAAAAAACCAACCCAATATTACAAGCAGCACTGGAAATATTTAGGATGGAGATCATGTGGGGTAGAAATCTTATACTCTACCAAATAAGGCCCACTGATATTTAGTTTTAGGCACTATATATGAAGAGAACTATTCTAGACATAATAACTCTCCCTCCTCCTCATAGCAATTTCTACTTTTTAAACACCTCCCATATGCCATGCACTATATTAGATGTTTTTACAATGTGTTCTCCAATTTAACCTCACAACCACTCTACTGAGGTGGGTTCAATTATAATCCTCATTTTACAAGAAAATGGAGGCTTGAAGAGATTAAGTAACTATCTATGTTAGACAGCTAACAAAGGTAACTTGTATCTTAAAGTTGCCTGATTCCAAAGTCTGTGGCCAGAATGGTAAAAAGTCTGGAAAAAGGAAAAAGTCACATAAAAATACCCCATTAAAGACAGTAAGAGTTTTTGAGCATGGAAGAAGAAAAGATTATGGAAACACTTGGAGGTATTTTCAAATATTTTAAAAAGATGACAGCTCCATTCTTTAACAAGTGAACTTCCTTGGGAGGTGAAGCACCTGTCAGGGCTATTGAAGATATGACTTTGGCATTGGGAGTGGAAGTTCCCCATGGATTCTACCTTAACATCTGCTGCAACTCCAGTTCAGCATGCTATAGGCAAAATTTCTGTTATGTTACTGATCTCCTGCCATACCTCTCACCTAAGCCTCAAGGGCTACAACTCTTGTCTAAGCCCACACAATATAGCTTTGTTACAATATTCCTTCTGTTCCACTGATTCCAAAGCCATTCCTATTACCAAAGGATAGGAAAAACTAGACTAGGGAGAGGATGCGGCTGTCAAACAGAGCAGAGAGATGCAATCCAGGCTTCAGGTCAAGGAGAGCAGAGATGCAGTCAGGGCCTCTGGTTAAAAAGAGCCAGCTGCAATTATGGCCCCAGTTGAAGAGACAGACTTGAGCATAACAAGCAGCTATTCTAATTGTCAAACAGAGCAGGCAACCAGGATTAAGCATAACACATAGCAAGGAAAGGCCTCTGGCAGAAATGAAATGATAAAAATCTAGCACTGAAAGAAAGACTCCGCTTTGAGAATACATAGAAGCCAAGACAGAATTCTGCAATTAGTAATGACCTTGAACCAAGAAGCAGGTATTGGCCGGGCGCGGTGGCTCAAGCCTGTAATCCCAGCACTTTGGGAGGCCAAGACGGGCGGATCACGAGGTCAGGAGATTGAGACCATCCTGGCTAACACGGTGAAACCCCAAAAAATACAAAAAACTAGCCGGGCGAGGTGGCAGGCACCTGTAGTTCCAGCTACTCGGGAGGCTGAGGCAGGAGAATGGCGTGAACCCAGGAGGCGGAGCTTGCAGTGAGCTGAGATCCAGCCACTGTACTCCAGCCCGGGCAACAGAGTGAGACTCCGTCTCAAAAAAAAAAAAAAAAAAAAAGAAGCAGGTATTTCCAGCCCAGACAGTATGGAAGAGGAGTGGCAACAAGGGACACGTATCGGCAAATCTGGCCAGACCCAACACAATTTTCCTAACAACACTGGTCAAGGGAAAGGACCCTGCCTGCCAGCATCAGGCCCATTCTGTGTACTTAAAGAGAGTGGCACACCACTAAAATTCCAATTTCCAACCTAAACATCCATTAACAGAGGACAGAATGCATAAGTTATAGTGCACTGCAACAAAAAAATACTGAAGCATTGGTTAAAAAAATTAATTACCAAGTTGTACAGCCAGACCTTATACATCTTTTAAAAGCATGATCTGCACTTACTTAAAAAAACAAAACGAAATGAAAAAGTACCAGTTCAATCCATGAGTTTATACTGACAGTGACAGGATCAATGGATTCTACATAATGCCACCAGTGTCTGGGAACAAACAGAACCTGAAAACCAAACAAAGAATGGTTAGCACAAGAACAGGACATTTCATTTTTATGTCAGACTCAGACCCTAATTGAGGCTGCTAGGAAAAAAAGGAATACAAATGAATTCACAATAATATTGCTGGAGAAAAGCAAAGGAAAAAAACCCCGCAATCCTTTTTTCCTTTTACTCCTTTTTTATTGACAAGTTCACATGTTCTACAAAGGATACTGCCAGCATCTCTATTCTCTTTAATCCTGGGCCTTCTTCGTCTGCGCCTAAATCTTAGTACATGATTCTGAGATTCTAATTTTTCCTCCTTTCCATCACAAAATAGTTGCATGCATTCTGAGAAAGGGCATAGGTAAAACACATAGGACATGGCTTCTGTATTCTCACAGTTCGAAATCTAGCCAATGAGAAGATAAAGTAAAGAAAGGTGGCATTATAGAAGTGGTAAATTAGAAGAAAATGATGTTTGAGAATTTCAGAGGTAGGTGAAACAGGCATGAACTAGGGAGGTCAGGGGCAACATGGATGGAGGAAGTGTGATTTGAACCCGGGCTAGGAGAGAATTCAGACTGAGAAAAGAATGAAGACATGCCAGGAAGGATAAGAGGTACAGGAGAGGGAGGTAGGACTATAGAGGATAGCAAGTAGGTCAGTCTTACTATCACAGAGGGAATAATGGGAGATAAGGTAGGGGAATTAGTTTAGGGACAGTGGACTTCAAAATAAGAATTTAGATTTTATCTGGTAGGCATTAGGAGTCACTGAGAAATTCTAAGTAGGGGGATGGTTAAAATAGTGGTATCGAGAGAGTCTGAGAAGGACAGCAGATATTTGCAAAGGCCCACTTATTAAATGTTAAAATATAAATAGGAAGGTATAATAAACAAAAGCAATGGGCAGACTCAAGAAGGATGGCATCTATCCAGACTCAGCATGAGATTTCCTATGGAGAGCAGAGCAGATGGAGATGATATGAAGCTTTTGGGCTTCAGATTTAGGAAACTACTGGTATTTGCTATGAACAAGGCAGGACTGGGAAATAGAAAGATCCTTTCAGGAAAACTGGAAACTATGAAAGTCCACTTGACAGTCATAAGTAGGTTATGCATGTCCTATCAGAGTAAAGTTTCAGTAAAGTGGTGAGAGAAAGAGCTGGGTTTGAGTGGATTAAAGGACGGACAGGAGGTAAGGAAAACTGATACAATGAACAAAACCAGTCATTCAAATTTGGCTATTAAAGACAAAAGAGAAAATGATTGGCAACCACTTCACACTCTCTGGAATGGCTGTAAAAATAATGATAAAAAAGAAAAACAAGTGTTGGGAAAGATGTGAAGAAACTGGAACCCTCATACAATGCTGGTGGGAATGTAAAATAGTACAGTTGCTATGGAAAACAGTTTGACAACTCCTCAAAAAGTTAAACAGAGGGTTACCATGTAACCCAGCAATTCTACTCCTAGGTATACCCAAGAGTATTGAAAACATATGTGTACATATGAAGACATATGTACACACAAAACTTGTACATGAATATTCAAAGCAGCATTACTTATAATAGCCAACAAAGCAGAAACAACCCAAATGTCCATCAACTGATGAATGGATAAACAAAATGTTATATGGCCACACAATGGAATATTATTAAGCCATAAAAAAGAAATGAAGTGCTAGTAACATTCTACAATGTGGATGACCCTTAAATACATTATGCTGTGTGAAAGAAGTCAGACACAGAAGGCCCTGTATCATAATATTGCACCACATGAAATGTCCACAATGGGCAAATCTACAGAGATAGAAAAAGATTAGTTGCTGTCAGGGGCTGTGGGGAGAGGTGAATGCAGAGTGACTAACAGGTTGAGACAACTCAGTGAAGTGAAATTGTTTGAGTTGATAATACTTGAGTGAAGGAAGCAGGAAAAGAGTGAGTGAGACGGGTACAATGGAAGGGGGAGGGATAATCAAGAGAATAAAGTATCTTTAAGTGACTAAGAAAACCTTTCAAATTATTAATGAAATATCAGACAGCAAGCGCCAATGTTGAAAAGGAAATTTTCCTCACTGGGAAGCAGCACTATGTACAATACCTTTGGAAATGTTTCAGAGTTAGTAATTTATGAAAACAACATCCATTCTTGCTTAAAAGCAAACATTCTCAGTTCCTTCTGCCCCTGTTGGCTCACACCTGGATGCATTCCGACCTGTGTTTATGTGTCTGGGTTCAGTTCTATCATAATTGAACAGATATTAACTGTGATTAAATGTTCCAGAGATGCTCAAGTACCCATGCCTTGAACATTTTCTCCTGACCTAAATGAAAATGACTCTGTAGACTGTCTTCCTCCAAAGTCCATTCTCCTCTTTACCAATAGGAGGAGCTGTGTTCCCTCTTGCCATTTCCTTTCCAGGACCTGTGAAGCAGAGATGTACCTGTCTGAAGCCTACAGCTGGGGCGGCTACCTTCCAACAGCAGAGCAGAGGGAAGGAAGTCATTCACATTTGTACTGCGCGGGGAGGGGAAGCACACAGCATAAGGACTTGAGAGAGTTACAGCTGTGGTGTCCCCTGGCAGGTCATTAAAGTTTTAAAGCCTTATTACCTGTCCTGGGCTCAGTGTAACCATATGTCTTTGAGCTTTCTGGAACTGAGGAAAACGCTTTAAATCAGGATTGACAACATTGATTTTACTGAACACACTAGATTCTTCATAAGGGATTCTAGTTGGATAAAGGAAAGGAGTATCTTCAGGAGGAAAGAGATGCCATCGTTTCCTAATTAAAAAAAAAAAAGAAAAAAGATACAAGTTAGTACTCTGATCTTAAGACAAAACATGTAAGAAGGCAAAAGCTAAGTGTTCATTTTCACTCATTTAAATTCGATCCCTAAGGGAATACAAGCACCATCAGTGGTCACCTGGCCATCTCTGACTCAGCGCTAGAATCGCTCTGCAGATACTGGGTGGAAGGCTGTGTAGCAACTAAGGGGCTGCCTCATGAATGTCTCAGGACACCATGAGGCAGCCTCTTACATTGCTGGGACAGAATCTAGTTCGTAAGATCATTCTTTCTTATCTCAAATCAAAGTCTGCCTTCTCATAGTTTTCATCCCTGACTCTAGAGCTATTCACAATAACCCCCACCCTTTCAAATATCTGTATTCTTATCTTATTCAGAGCAAACACTCATAGTTCCATCCACCAAATAGTTTCCAGACTTCTCCCTGTTTGGGTTATAAATTCCTTAAGTTAAACATTTGTTAAGTTAATCCATTAGGGAGTGGACATGCACAAATAACACCACATAAATAAAGCAGTATAATGTGGGAATTTTCAAAAAGAAAACTGTCAAATGTTTCTCACTTAAAACCGTTTTGAAAATGGAGGTAATAAATTCTAACTCACAAAACACTAGACACACCTATGCTTTATGCCAATAGGGGGAAGACATCTGAGGCAAAAGCAAGGGAAGTATGAGAAAAAAAAAGAGACCTAGACATCTAGATGTTTAGATGGGGAGGCAAAGAGAAAAGAGGGAAAAACCTAGTTCTGAGAGAAGAAGCCCAAAGCCCTCTAGTGACCCCTTGCAGTTGTTAGAGTGGGGCTATCAAGTCCTTTCAGAACCAAGAAACAGGGGCTGCTGTTTTCGAACTAAGTAGTATATACTGAAGTCTTATTTTGCTTTAGAAATTTGAAGGTTTTATAGAAATAATGAAATGCTTTACTCTTCAGTAAACATTTACATTCAGGCCATGTGTGGTGGCTCACTGCCTGTAACCTCAGCACTTTGGGAGGCCAAGGCAGAAGGATTGCTTGAGGCCAGGATAGAGACTAGCCTTGGAGCCTGGGAAACATAGCAGTACCTCATCCCTATAAAAATTTTTCTGAAAAAATTAGCCAGGTGTGATGGTGTGTGCCTGTAGTCCTAGCTACTCAGGAGGCTGAGGTGGGAGGATTGTTTGAGCCCAGGAGTTTTGAGGAAGCAGTGAGCTATGACTGTGCCACTGCACTCCAGCCTGGGTGACAAAGCAAGACCATGTATCTAAAAAAAAAAAAAAATTCATTTCGGAGCTACAAGGCAGTCTATCAGTTTACAGAGTCATCAGTTTAAAAACCATTGAGGTTCAAAAGCTGTTTGCCCAATCTTAAAGCTTTAATTTAATTAAAGCTTTAAGAGCTGCTCCATTCCACTGTATTAGTTTGAAAGCAGTTTTCAGTATCGATATGCTTCGAATGTTAGAGTTGGAAGGGCTCTGAAGAGATCATCAGTCTAATTTCATTTTCAAAGTAGTGGCAGAAAGACTCAGAGCTTGCTCAGTGTCACTCACTGGGGTGGTGGTAGATTCAGAACGAGGTCACAGATCTCCTGGCTTCTCCAGATCCCAGTTCCTTCCCCTGCACCATAGCAATATTTCCCAAAGGAACAGCCATAATGATAACCATCCCATCCAATCTGCTTTGTTTGGCTTAAAAAATGTAAAATGCATGAATCCTTCTATCAGAAAAGGTATTCAATCACCATGCGATCTCCTGCTTTAAAAACCTGTCATGCTTCTGGATGCTGAAAGAACAGAGAGTAACAGTGTTTGCCTAGAAGTCAAGACACTGGGGACTCAACCTACCTGCCTTTCTGGTCTACTCCCTCTGTCTCCAATGCACAACATATACTGGACAAATTAAGGGGTCCTCTCTACCCCCATGCTTTCTCAGGGTCCCTCTGCCCTTCCCACCTGGGTCTTTTGAGCACTTATCTATCCTTCAAGGCCCACCACAAATGGCAGCTCCTCTGTGAAATCTTCCCTGATCTTTCCAACAGGAACATGACCTCTTCTACTTCTCAGTCCTACAGCTCTGTGAAACCTTCCTCTAGAGCATGGGCATTCTGCCTTGTATCACGGCTGTCTGTCGGCTTGCCTACAATCTGGTTGTGAGCTCTCCCACGGTAGAGATGGTGTATTACTCCCTCACCTCTGTACCTACTGTAACACATGGTCCCTGTACAGAAGGATACTCAATGGGTATTTACGAAAGCTATTTTATTATTCCAGAGTTATATAAGGCCAGAAAACGTCTTATTACAAAGTTAAAAAAAAGTGATATTAACTTTATATCATAGAAAGAATTCAGGTATTTTTTGATAATGTTTTTCCAACTTGAATTTCTCTGGCTTGTTTCCCCATTCAGAACACATGGACAGCAGCTACTTAAAATGTTATCTCTCTTACCAAGTTTAAGGTTTTAGCCTGTTAACTCCACAAAGGTTGAGACCACACTCATTTGATTGACTCTTGCATCCACAGCGTGTAGCTATGTACCTGACACATTCTGTGCCCTTTAATAAAGATGAAATGCATCAGAGAGTGGATAACTTCTACCATTCTGTAATTTTCAGAGTTCTTCACATGTGAAATGTATCCACAGACATACTGACTGTTTCTCCTGAACCTATTCACAATTCTTTTCACATCTAATAGGTCTGAGAACTTGTACATGGCCTTTTCTGTTTTACTCTCTGTGCTGCCCTGTAAATATCCCACATGACCAGGAGAAAAGACTGGGGCATCATTAATTAGGGGAAAATAAGGCTGCACATACATCTGAGTACATCCTCCAAGTGGCATAAACACTTAAGACTCTCGTAGAACTCCAGAAACCAGAAGCACTGCCTATCCCTTCTAGAGTCCACAGATAGATGGAGACAAAAACTGACCTAAGGTAACAATACACTGTATTGTGTCAGGTAGGCACAAACTAAAATTTAGAGTTTAAAGGGTCCAGTATTTTTCAAATCAGGATCGCTGGCATCCCTTGGAGGGGAGTTTGAGGGCAACAGTGGAGCCTCTTCCTTTCAACAAACTGCTCTGCTCTTATTTATTTAGATTTGGAGAAAGGGTGTTCCCATTTTAAAATAAAAGTTTGAAAACTACAAACTCATGTAAAAAAGAAAAGCTAAGCATAGGCTGGGCATAGTGACTCACACCAGGACTTTGAGAGGCCAAGGCAGGAGGATGGCTTGAGGCCAGGAATTCAAGACTAGCTTGAGCAACGTAGAAAGACTCCATCTCTAAACAAAATTTTTAAAAAATTAGCTGGGCATAGTGGCACACACCTGTAGTCCTAGGTACTTGAGAGGCTGAGGCGGGAGGATGGCTTGAGGTCTAGGAGTTAGGATCACGCATTGCACTCCAGCCTGGGCAACAGAGCAAGACTCTGTCTCAAATGTCTCTAATTTACAAAAAAAAAAAAAAAACAAAAACCAAGCAGAGAGCTGTCTAGCTGACCTGGGAGTGGAATCCCAGAATTCTAGAATCAACTCTCTGAAGACAATCCTGATCACGGCAAAGCACTCACCTGTAAACCACCATTTTAACTGTTCTCATTTCACAGAGGAGAAACCAAAACCAGAGGTTAAGAGGTCTGCCCCAATCATGAGGCAGGCTGACAGAATGGGGCTGGGACTACACCTTGGGGTACTGCCCTATTCTCTCTGCCACCCCTGATGCATGCATGCACAGGTGCACACACACACACACACACATACACACACACATTACCTTCCTTGTACCTGGAATACCAAGTTACAACCATAGGAGTCCAGATGACAGGGTGTGTGGGCTCCCAAGGAGCCAATCCACAATGTACTTTCCTGTCCATTTCTTCCAGGAAACCCGAAGTCAGACCATTTCACATCCTGTTTTGAAATAAAGTTGCAATCCATCAAGAACTAACCAACTTCTCTGTATGGTAATGTTGCCCATTTTCACTTGCACATCTGTTATTTGGCAGTTGGAATATTCTGTTATGGAAAATGCTACAGATGGAAGAGGTTAGGTTTCCAGGGCAGTTCAAGAAATCTTTCTAGCCAATAACATATTTGAATAACCACACTAATAGTAATCATTCAACAAATATTTACTGACTACTTACAACATGCCAGGCACTGTTCTGGAAGCTTGTAATGAATCAATGACCAAAAGAGACAAAATGCCCACTCAGATGAAGCTTACATTTTAGAGTTGGAAACAGACAGGATTCTGCTGATATTTAGGGAAAGCGTGTTTTGGGCAGTTAGAACAGTGAATACAGTGGAAACGTCATTATTTCAAATATCTCTGAGATGCAACCGAGGAAGTCAGAAATCCTTATTCCCTCTAAGCAGTGCATATATTTGTGTATATACGCAACTTACTAACTTTGTGTACTTCAATGACCACATAAAAGAAGCCTTCTCCTACATTAGTGGGGTTACTTAAAACTATCAATGCTGGAGCCTTAGCTCATACCTACTAGATCAGTCTTCAGGTGAGGGTGTGAAGGTACATCTTTTGAAATATACATCCATGGATGGCTTTCAATATACTCCCCAAAGTCATGAACTTCTTAAGTGCAATGATCTTTAAAACAGAGACAGCACAGTGCTCTGGACTTAGACTCTTCATATGCCTGGTTCTGTGGGCAAATCCTGCCCAAGTTAACTACTGGGAAAAGCCTATACTTTTAGAAGCCGACAGTGCATTTGCAGCACAGAAAAATAGGGTCACACATAAACCGAAATCCATGTGATTAAACAGATTTATAAGCTAGAAAAGAAAAAGAACATACTAGTGAACCAAGCATGATGGTTCTGCCTTATTTTTATTTTACTCACGAAATTTTCCTTTTGGTTTTAAAAAACAAAAGCAAAGAAAAAAAAACCCACTTCTATGTGCAGAACATCATTCTCAATGCTGACACTCCTTTTATCAGTAACTGCAGTCCAAATTTTCTATTTTTAGAGGGAAAACATTAACAGCTGTATTCAAAGAGAAAGGATTTTAAAGAGAAATTTAATGGATGGTTTTGAGGAAGACTAGAAAGGGCACTTTTTTTTCATTTTTGTTTTGAGTGATGAAAATGGTTGAATACGTGCACATAACTAATGTCTGATATAGAAGGGGGAATTTTTGCAAGGTCAGCACCACTGTAAATGCATATGGCTCACATGTGGCAGTTCCAGTGGGTGGTAAAAATCCTGTTCTCTCTGCATATAGCCTATAACCTCCATACTGGGAGCTTACCCCTGTTTTCTCAATGCCTAACTTAGTACCAGGCTCAGGGTTAGACCTTGGAACACACTGGCTGCTTGGGAGGGAAAGAAGAATCCACTGACTTATGATGGTTAAAATAGTTCAGGCCAATGACATTTTTGAGCATACACCTGGTGTGATGCTGGGTGTTGGGGATACAAAAATTAATGTAACACAGGCCAACCCTTCAAATCTAATAATGGGCGATAATCCTATAAACAGAGCCTTTCAACATGATGTAACAAGTGCTCTGACACAAATATGCAGGAAATGCTTTAAGATCACAGCAGGAGAGCCCTGTACCCAAGCAGGGAGCTTAGGGGAGGCTTCCAATTAACCTGGTCCTTGTTGAACAATTTACCACACCTCAGTCTGAAGAATTTAACTAAAGGTAGCTGAAAGCCATTCAGTATAAAAAGGAAAAAAGAGACTTGTCTTAGCTAAGAAGAGACAGGTTATGTGATTCTTAATCTTATAGATACGTCCCTGCAGGAATCTAATGAATACCAAAGCCCCTTCTCCTCAGAAAAAGCACACATGAAATTTCATATATACTTTCAAAGAAGTGACAGACCAACCCCACATGAAAAACCCTGTTCTAGAGCCCTGCTTTGGAAAGAATCACTGAAGAAAGATTTTTCTACAGGGTGAGGTTACTGTATGAGAAACTGAGGAGAGGCTTCTCTGGCCTCTTGTCTAACAGTAATGACTTGAAAAGCAAAACTGTCAGCCAGGTGTGGTGGCTCATGCCTGTAATTCCAGCAATCTGGGAGGCTGAGGTGGGAGGACTGCCTGGGTCCACGAGTTCAAGACCAGTGAGGGCAATGTTTGGTGAGGCTCTGTCTCTACAAAAACTTTTTTTCAACAAATTGGCTGGGTGTGGGGGCATGCACCTGTGGTCCCCGCTACTCAGGAGGCTGAGGAGGGAGGATCATTTGAGCTTGGGAGGTTAAGGCTGCAGTGAGCTGTTTGCACCACAGCACTCCAGCCTGAGTGCCTGAGTGACAGACCAAGACCTTGTCTCAAAAAAAAAAAAAAAAGCAAAATTGTCAGTGTAAAAATAGACAGCATTGAGAGCTGGGATTCTCTGCCCAAGTAAGTTTAGCTACTTATGGGTAGTCAAATGTCTGAAGTCAATGTGGGCCCAGGAATCTGTCTTGAGTCTTGCTAGAAACAGGAGGCCCTGTTTGGGTGCTACATCTGTAAAACCAAAAAGGGTGATCAGTAGGGTGATCTGTCTTGGAGTCTACTCACACATACCTCAAGAGTTGGAAAAATCTTTAAAAATCATCTATTCTCAGAAAGTTCTATTCTACACCATCCCTGAAAAGAGCAAAAGTAGCTAGCTTGGGAGGGAAAGTAGCTAGCTGGCTGACCACTTACTACAAAATCAGTATCTACTTCCTGGTAGCTTACAGAGGAGGATCCTAGGTTTGCTTTCTATAACTAAAGAGAACAAGTTTATTTTCTGCCAAAAATTGCTATTTTTAAGTTATCAGAAAGACTGTCCAGCTTCTCCTTTATTATTAATTTTTTTAACCTAGATGCAGCAGCATTAACTTTTCCTTCCAATTGCTCTTCTCTCAATTTCCTTTATTTGTCAACAGGCCTAAAGCCTGGCTCCCAAACTGAACCCCAGACACAGTCTACACAGAACCTGTATCCATGGAATTGTAACATTCCATGACCCGGACATCATACCATTAATGCACTGACAGACGGCACTTTTCTTTTTAAGCAACTAAATTATACCAAGGCTAATATTGGGCCTCCCTGTCTCTTACTTGCAGACTCTTGACTTATAGTCAAGGACTAGCCTAATATTTCCTAATTTTCCTTGTGATTTACTATTTGACTTATGGATTATTTAGAAGTTTAAGGTTTAATTTCAAATATTTGGGGATTTTTCAGCTATCTTTTTGTCATGAATTTTTAATTTAATTCTGTTGTGGTGAGAGAACATACTTTGTATGACTTAAATCCTTTTAAATTATTGAAACTTGTTTTATGGCCCAGAATATAATCAATCTTGATAAACGTTCCATGTGCACTTGGAAATAATGTGTTTTCTGTTGTTGGGTGGAGTGTTTTATAAATGTCAATGAAATCAAGTGGATTGTTCAAGTCTTCTGTGTCCTTACTGATTTTCTGTATATTTGTTTTACCCATTATAGAGACAGAGGTATTGAAATCCCCCTGCTATAATTGTATATTTGTGTTTTTCTCACTTTAGATTCGTCAGTTTTGTTCATGTATTTTGAAACTGTTATTGGGTTCATACACATTTGGGATTATTATGTCCGCTTGGTGAATTGACCTTTTATTGTGATAAAATGACCCTCTCTACCTTGGGTTTCCTTGTTTTGATGTTAACTATGTCTGTCTCCTCCTTTGAATAGTATTGGCATGAAAAAGGAGTGCTTACTATATGATTCCATTTCTACGAAACTCTAGAACTGCCAAACTAACCTGCAGTGACAGAAAGTACTACATCAGTGGTGTCTGAGAATGAGGGTGTAGGGAGAGACAGGTTATGAAGGGACACTGGGAAACTTTTGGACATGATCAAAATGTTTGTCATCTTGAATGTGGTGATAATTTCTTGGGTGTATGTATATGTAAAACTTAATCAAACTGTTCACCTTAAATATATGCTGCTTATTATATATCAGTTATACCCCAATAAAGTTGTGTGTGTATTTTTTTAATACAATGCTATTAGTACACTTTGATCCCACTGTCTCAACACTAGCAGTTTTGTTCACCATTGCATTTGTACCATCAGTGCAAATGTCAACACTGTGAAATAAGCAAATATCATTTTAGAAGTATTATGAAAATAATTTTGATCTCAGAGATCCTCTGAAAGGTTGTCAGGGACCCCCAGGGGTCTATGGGCCACTCTGGTTTACAACATCACAACTGTAATTACTCTATGTTCTTCTGTTCTGACTCCTCCTCTAAGTAATTCTAAAACAGTTTCTTATGAAAATACATTTTAAGTCATACTCCAGATTAAAATTAAAATACTTTAATCATGTTCACAAACGTTTTATAACTTAAAATTATATAATGATAGCATTTAAGACCCTCCCAAGTATGGCTGACGCCACCTGTCTGCTCTGCGTAAGGCCCTGTCCAGTCTCCTCACTGACCTATGCTCTCTCTTACCTCCTGGCCTCTGCTCATGCCCCTTTCAATTTCTGCCTATTAAAGTTCTATGTTTTAGGACCTGGCTCAGGTTCAGCCTTGGCTATGAAACCTTCTCAACCACTTGTACCCATATCCATCTGTCCCTTGCCTTCCTTCCTATATGTTTTATTTGGATTACTATTTAAATGGTAAGTGACACAGAACGTTTGTGTCCTCCTGTTCCTTTAACAATATTGTAAGCTCTTTGGGTTATATTTCATAATTTTTTACTCCTGTAAACTGCTAACATACTGCTGAATACATAATAGGTATTTGAATGATTACATAAGTGGATTTTTTCCTACTCTTACCATTTCTTGTTTTGATATTTCTCTGGGTCTTTAGGACCCCTCAGAGAATGTTTTGACTTAAACCCCTAGCTTCACCTTTGTCAAATTCTCTGCGGCTTCTAGTTAATCAGTGTAGCATTTGTCAGCCTTGGTAAGAAATTCTTAATCTCCCTGGCTCTCTACTAGTTTTGTAAGTTTTTACTTACAGCCTCTACTTGAAGTTTCCTCCTATTAACTCTTTTCTTCCACAAATTAAATTTATCTATGAAAAATATGTATATTGATAAATATATTGGTATGATTGGAAAATATCCTGTAGCCTCAAGATGGCCTAAAAGTATGATTTTGACACTTAACTGACTTTTGTGTATAGCAAATAAAATTAATCTTATTATTTTTTAGTTATACATCATATCACTGACTAATCTAAATAAAGCACTTGTTTTGAACATTTTGTTCTCTACTTTCCTAGAAAGGTAGGGAATTTGTGACAGTACAAAACAAAATTTCTTTCTTTCAGACTCATTAGGTAAGAATGACAGGTTTTACCTTTTGCAATTATCAGTAAGTATCATCATAATTGAAGTTATTAAGAATCAACATGTAATAAAAGGAATTTTGCCCCAAGAATGCTTCTCAGGTAGATTCCATTTGACATTGTGATTTGAATTGGCTACTGAAGGTCAGGAGCCTTGTTAAGTCACCAGGTCACAGATTCCCAAAATACAGTAGATGGAAGAATAGTTGTAACATGTCTTGGACTTTAAAACATAGCTATGAGAGCATGTTGAAATTGAGGCAGGTGATTTGATAATGAATAATGGCATCTGATGGCCAGTGATGCTTTCTGATGAGACAAGTTGGAATGTAAGAATTAAGGTGTTTATCGAGCCTATCGGTGGGTAGAGAGTTAATTACCTCTTTTCTGTTTATGTACCTAAGGTAATTTTTCTAAGGAAAAAGAAACTCAGACAATTGCTAATGTACAATGTCAATTTAAGGGGCTGTTTGAAATTTGGATTGAAATATTTATCCTTTGTAAGTTTTGGAGAGTAATTATAATTAATTATATTATTTTAAAAGTTATATTTTGGGCTGGGCATGATGGCTCATGCCTGCAATCCCAGCACTTTGGGAGGCTGAGCAAGCAGATCACTTGAGTTCAGGAGTTCGAGACCAGCCTGGTCAACATGGTGAAACACCATTTCTACTAAAAATCTAAAATTTAGCCAGGCACGGTGTATACTCCCAGCTACTCGGGAGGCCGACGCGGGAGAATTGCTTGAACCTAGGAGGCGGAGGTTGCAGTGAGCCAAGATCATGTGATTGCACTCCAGCCTGGGTGACAGAGTCAGACTCTGTCTCAAAAAAAAAAGAAAAAGAAATACATGAGCCTGAAAGCTTCCTAAGACTTTTTTCTGATAAGAACAGTGGTATTAACAAACATGACTTTTTGAATAATGAAATGTATCAAGTATACTGAAAATGTGTCAACATTTGGAAGATCTACATAATTCAGTAAACCAATATTTTCCAAATGGTCCATGATAACATTACATAAGATCCATTCTGCGCAAGACAGACCAATGGATTTTATTACAAGGGTACAGAGTTCATTCATTACAGGTTCAGATTTTATATTGCAACTAATGAGCCTTTAAGAAACTACCCCTCATCAAGTGTGGTGTGGTATAAAAACAATCCACAATTATCTGAAAAGGCTGTTATTAATAAATACTCCTCCCTTTTTCAGTTTCATATGTGTGTGAGGCAAAATTTTCTTCATATACTTTAAACAAACCAACAAATTGCAATAGCTTGAATGGAGAAGCAGAGAATCCAGCTGTCTTCTTACAGCCAGACATCAAGGACACATGCCAAAATATACAACAATCCATCCCTCTGATGACATTGAAAATTTTTTGAATATAGTTATTTTCTTAAAAATATTATTATGTTAACATATAGTGGGTTGTGTCATTTTAAATAAATTAATAAACATTTTTTAAATGTACCCATTTTAATGCTTAACTACCCACCATTTTATGACAGATATAAGAAAGCTTGAAACACAAGTAATAAGACTTGGTAGCTGAATGAATTAAACCAACATAGGTACCTGTGATGTAAGAAGACTTGGTGCCCAGAAAATTTCGAGACAAAAGGTGATATAATCCTAATGGACGTGGTTATTCATAGCAGAATTAATTGCCATAATATGAGCTGACAGAAAACTCATTCAACTCAAAATATCAGATTTTATAAGGGCTCAGTTAGAATTCCAGCACATTGCCAAAAAGACTGCCCTTTATATCCGCACTTAATGGACAGGTCACATACTGCTTAGTGCTGCCTTGCCTGGGATGAGACAGAACTACTGAGGTCAGATCAAAGACTCATCCAAGGCAGAGTGAGCCTAGACTCAGGACAGAGAGTCACAACAGGACTGAATGTATGCACACCCTCTGTAGGCACAGTAGTCATTAAAGCTCTGGAGTAGCTAAAGCTCTAAAAGCAGACTATTTGGGTTACCCCTTCGTAGTTGTATAATCTTAGAAAAGGTTTACTTAACCTCTTTGGGTCTCATTTTTCTTAAAATGGGGATAATTATTAAATCATAGAGTTACTTTGAGGATTATAAATGTAAAACATTAGAAAAATTCCCCCCGAAAGTAAGTACTTGATCAATGTTACTATTAAGCAATATTTTACCTGAAATATGGAGTAAAGTACTAGTCTGATTTACAGAGTGGTGGGGGGTGAGTATGAGAAACATAACAAAACACTTTTAAAGTTAACTATGAAATCTGTAAGTTCCATAATTAAAGAACCATAAAGTGATCACAATTAAGGTTGTAAGAAAAAACATCTACCTTAAAATTATCATTTAAAAATGAGTAAATAGTAGATTTGGTATTGACTTTGAATTCAGAGTCATTTACTGAGTGTTTTTAAAACCTATGCATTTCTTTCATGGGTAAGAGAATGAAAATACATTCTCAACTAACAACGACAGGCTGGGTGCAGTGACTCATGCCTGTAATCCCAGCACTTTGGGAGGCCTAGGTTGGTGGATCACTTGAAGTCGGGAGTTCGAGACCACCCTGGCCAACACGGTGAAACCCTGTCTCTACAAAACCATACAAAAAGTAGCTGGGCGTGGTGGCAGGCACCTGTAATCCCAGCTACTGGGGTTAGCAGGTGGGCGGTGGCTGTGGCAGGAGAATTGCTTGAACCTGGGAGGCAGAGGTTGCAGGGAGTTGAAATTGCACCACTGCATTCCAGCCTGGGTGACAGAGACTCCATCTCAAAACAACAATGACAACAACAACAACAACAAAACTATGGGGCAAGGTGACAAATTTTTCCTTTTTTTAATACAAAAAAGCAAAATTAAGCCAGGCGCAGTGGCACATTCCTATACTTCCAGCAACTCGGGAGGCTGAGATGGGAGGATCTATTATAATACCTATGTTAACATCAGCATTTACATCTTGACTCAACATAAAAAAGAAAAATATACACTGAATGGAAAATTACTGAGGAGCCAAAGAACTATCAGCCTATGAAAGCCAAGTCCAGAGAGTGGGTGGTGGCAGAGAGGAAAAGAGGTGAACAGCCTGCAGGGATGGTGAAATATTTCTCTCCACAAAGAAGGGGCAGGAAGAAGGACTCTGGAGCCTTGGCCTGAGTGGGGGCAAGGCAGAGTCCTCCAAACAGCCTCTGGAATGGCTCCCATTCCTGCCCCACACCTAAGACACACATGGAAACAAGAGCAGAGAGTTTGCAAAATTATCTCACAAAATAAACTGCCAGTTTAAGGTAGAAAACATTTAAAAGAAAAGAGGATATGGTAGTCTGGAAACTCTGTTGTCAGTTATGTCAACATACGGCAAAGAACTTCCATAATTTTACTTCTGCAAGTCACTCCCACACTTCTACAGGGCTTCCGCTACCAAATACTGGGAGCCAAGTGTTCTCTGCCTCAGGCCATGAACTGCCAGATAAAACAGCTGTCCAAAACCCCTAGAGCAGGTAGAAATTGCAGGAGCAGCCTGGTCACAGCCCAGGGAATGCTCCTTCACAGAATCGGCTTTATGCTTTCATCTGCCTCACTGACGCGACAAGAACTTACGTGGAGGTCAGGAGGCAATGAAGTTTTACATACAATCTATGCTTCTAACATACTCCAAACCGACTCAAGCACTGTTTAAAAGCAAAGGAGGGTGTATAGGAAGTTTGGGAGTAGGAAAACAAGGAAGCCTGCTCATCTGTGTGAGCCAAATGGTACACTTCTCTTCAGCAAACTTTCGGTTTGAGTGGGTGAAATATCCAGGACTCATGGCGATTACTTATGAGAGAAAAAGGCAGAGAAGGTGCCAGAGAGATTCTAATTTGTGTGTTCTCAAAAACCAATTCCTACCAAGATTAGAAGGAAGGTTCTGACTTACCTGGAAAATATCTGTCTTGTCTTCAAATAGACTGACAAAATATTTATAGTCAGCATAAGCCCAGAACTTGGAATGGTCATAATCTCTAAATGGTCCAGAAATACTAGACTGGTCACAGTTCCAGGTCAGAAACTCTTCGAGTGTAGCTTCTACATAACTACATGTAGTTTCAAACTGAGGAACTGCAATGTAAGAGAATGCAACTTTAAATGTATAATGAACACATTTCCTAATTATTGTTGTTTTTTAAAAAATAAAGATGATTTCAACCAAAACATTAACTTTGAAGACTAACTAAAAATTCGTTTTGAGCCAGGTGTGGTGGTGTATGCCTGTAATCCTAGTTTCTCTGGAGGTTGAGGCAGGAAGACGGCTTGAGTCCAGGAATTTGAGACCAGTCTGTGCAACAGAGCAAAACCTCATCTCCAAAAAAAAAAAAAATTTAAAAATTTAAAAATTAATTTGTACTTGTTCTATAATTAGAGCCATTTATAAAATTCACAATACTCAGGATTAAACATAAAAGTATAAAGCACAGTTTTAACCTTAAGATTAAAGACTACCCTATGAGTAGATTTAGTAATCCAAACTTGAGGATTTAGTAAATAAAAACTTGAGGCACCATATAGTTAAATGCAAAATTTTATGCTGCTGACACTTGGAAAAGGCAAAGATCACTAGAGATGAGGGTTGATCAGGAAAGCTTCAAGAAAAGGTATCTTATCTGTCCACAGTGGCTTGCTATTATGGGTGTGACCCCAGTGAGTCAAGATTGGAGTCTTGGATTGACACAGACTATTCTTCTAAAAGAATGATGAAATTAATTTTATTTTTGCAACTTAAATGAACATAGGAAGTTAATATTTAAGAAATCTGATTATGACTTCCTTTACAAAACATGAAATCTTTTCAAGATGTGATATAGATCAGTTAGCACAGTGCTTGACACAGCAGATTTCAGTAAATGTTCACCACTATTTTTTATTTTTTGTTTTTGTTTTGAGATAGGGTCTTGCTCGTCATACAGGCTGGAGTGCAGTGGTGTAATCTCGACTCACTGCAACTTCTGCCTCCCGGGTTCAAGCGATCCTCCCGCCTCAGCCTCTCAAGTAGCTAGGACTAGAGGCATGTGCCACCACGCCTGGCTAATTTTTGTATTTTTTAGTAGAGATGGGGTTTCACCATGTTGGCCAGGCTGATCTTGAACTCCTGGCCTCAAGTGATCTGCCCGCCTGGGCCTCCCAAAGTGCTGGGATTACAGCGTGAGCCACCGTGCCCAGACAATGTTAGGCACTATTATTAGTACTTCTTATCCATTCATATATTTACTTGGAACCCTTTAAAAGTCAGCTGAATCAGTAGCAAGAAGAATATGAATATTCTTCTTTCAACGGCTTTTATCTTTTCTCTACGTTTCTGCCTGTAACTGCTTAGAATTATCCAATCATCTTTTTCCTTTCCCTTCTTTTTCCTAAGCCACAGAATGGCAGAGAGGTAATAGAGATAGGGTGTATGTCAACGAATCACCCTAATGCATCCACTTTAACTTGTCACCTCACTTTGAGAAGCAGGAGAACTTAACTAGGGCACATTTATCTAAAAGATTAAAATATACATATTCAAGAACTATTTAAATTTTAACAATTTTTGTAAAGCACTTAGTGCCTGGCACATAGTAAACAATCAATATACATAAACTCTTAACATATCAACATTGGCCAGGCATAGTGGCACATGCCTATAATCTCAGCGCTTTGGGAGGCCGAGGTGGGAGGACTGCTTGAGCCCAGGAGTTTGAGATTAGCCCGGGCAACATGGTGAAACTCTGTCTCTATAAAAAATACAAAAAAATTAGCCAGGTGTGGTAGTATGTGCCTGGAGTTCCAGCTATTCAGGCAGCTGAGGCAGGAGGATCACTTGAGCCATGGAGGTTGAGGCTGCAGTGAGTAGAGACTGTGCCACTGCACTCCAGCCTGGGTGACAGTGAGATCCTGTCTCAAAACAAAAACAAAAACAAAACAAAAAAATTACCAACTTCATCAAAAATTTATCATAAAAGCACAGAAGTACATAAAGTTTAATTCTGACAAACAAAAGCGCATGTGGCAAGAAAGCTGTATGACTCTGGGAAATAGGAGTCATTTCTAAAAGATTTAAGTAACTCCACTGTAAGTCTAAACATATTATACCGTCTTAGGAGTTTTCACTTCCTAGAATTCAATCCAACTGAATACTAAAGCCATTAAATGAGCTACTTGCCCCTGGGGTGGACTAAGCAGGACTTTTCTGTTGAGGCCAGTTATCTCAGGCAAGCCTGATTTGCAGCCCCCAGAACCTGGCCTCATTAGAAGACTTCATTTTCTGTTATAGCAAGCTCTGCACGTTAAAAAATGTTAAATCTAAAAATGTAAAAATTACATATGAGAACTGTTACTGTCAGGGGAAAATTATCATGAATGGAATGAATGAAAATGACAGATCTTTTCATTTCCATAATGATTTCAAAATATAATTTTTTCACTCTTTCCTGGTAGTAGCATCATCAAAGGTACTGCTCTGATTTTGTTATAATGACAATTTCTTTCTGGGTAGTACAGTTGTTATTCTTAGTTTGTCTTATGCAATGAAATTATTCCTTTCTAATTTTACCAAGATTCTTTCATTTAATGTTGAAGTAGTCTAGGCAACTATAATGTTCATCCTACTTACTGTAAAGTACTAGGTAAGAAGCGCAACTGAGGTCAGGATTTGGCAGTAGTGTACAAGCTGAGCTTGCTTTTAATTATTATAAAAAGGGGTCCTAAAATAGTTTTTGCACAACAGGATAACAACTATTTCTCCATTTTGTTAAACTTTCATCATTTTACAAGTAAGAAATAATACATGATGCCTAAACTCTAAACAGGTCTTTTGATCACTCTATCCCCCTGCTTTCAGATGTTCAGGGTTATTTCTACAACTGCTTGCCAAATTTACTGCCAACTGAGATACAACACTGCCACTGAGCACGTATCTTGGGAAACAAATCTGATCCAAAATGCTATGTGATGTTCTCTATCTGCTTCCTAAAATAAACTAAGGAACACATGATATTCAAAAATGCCAATTATTAACATTTCTATTTCAAGTATTCTAGAAAAATTCTAACCAAGACCTAAGACCTAAAACAGAAATAAGAAATATACTCAACAGAGAGGAAACAAAGTTATCCTTACTTTTAAAATCATATGCCTGTCTAACTAGAAAACCCACAAAACAACACAAAACTATCTAGGCTAATTAGTAGGTGCACACAATATAAACACACTGAAACAAATGGCTTTCCTCTATGACCAATCACAACCAGTTAGAAAACTGTAACAGGCAAAAATATTTCCTTTATAACAGCTATAACAAATTTACAATATTTTAAGGAATCTGTAGACCTATATAAAAACTATAAATCACTTTACTGAGACCCAAATAGACTTCGTAAGTAAAGATAACATGTCCCTGTGTAGGAAGATACAGTATTATAACAATGGGATTAATTAATTATAAAGCTTAATCAATTTTCATTTGAAATTCCAACAGGTTTCTTTACAGTGAGAACTTTGTGTAACTCTAAAGTTCATTTAGATATATAAAATTCAATAATATCTAAGAAAAAAGAGTAATTAGGGAGGATGAATTGTATATTCAAATATTAAAATGCATACCAGTACTAAAAGCATGTTTTAAAACTGTTTTACTGGCCCCCAAACTGGTAGCTTAATATGTGGCCCAAAAACTGATGCTGGAATATACAAGAATATAGTAATATAATAAAGGTGATTTCCAAAGTCAGTAGGGTAAAAAAGAAATATTCAGTAAATGGTATTGGAATAAAATTTCCAAATTTAGCTATTTGTATAAAAAAATTCATTGAATACCACATAACAAAATAAGTAAGAAATGGATACTTAAATGTAAAAAAGAAATCATTAATCAATTAGAAAAAAACTATTAGAATATTTCTCTATTTTCAGGATAAAGAAGGAATTTCTAAAGTTAAATGAAAATAAAAATGTTAATAAAGCATTATTTGATTATATAAAAATATAAAACTGTGAAGCTAAAATGAGAAAGCAAACAATAACTAGGAAGCTTATTAGTTAATAACACAATCTTCTTTTTTTTCATCTGTTTTACTTATTTTTTTTATTTCTAGAGGCAGGGTCTCAGTCTGTTGCCCAGGCTGGTGGGCAGTGGCGTGGTCAGAACTTTGAACTGCTAGGCTTAAGCAATCCTCCTGCCTCAGCTTCCTGAGCAGCTAAGACTACAGGTGTGCATCATCACACCCAGCTAATTAAAACAATTTTTTTTTGTAGAGACAGGGTCTTGCTATGCTGCCCAGGCTGTTCTGGAACTCCCAGCCTCAAGTGATCCTTCTTTCTAGGCCTCCTACAGTGCTGGGATTAGAGGTGTGAGTAGCTGTGCCATGCCACAATCTTCATAATATATAAAGAATTCAAAAAAAATTTTAAACCCTAAAATCCCAATAAGGAAATAGTCAAAGACCAATTATCAGAAAAAAATACAAATTACAAATAAACATGAACATATGTTCAATATCGCTAGCAATCAAATAAATGTGTGTGTGTGTTTTTTTTTTTTTTTTTGAGACAGAGTCTCACTCTGTGGTCCAGGCTGGAGTGCAGTGCCACTATCTTGGCTCATTGCAACCTCTGCCTCTTGGGTTCAAGTGGTTCTCATGCCTCAGTCTCCCAAATAGCTGGGATTACAGGCGTGCACCACCATGCCCAGCTAATTTTTTGTATTTTTAGTAGAGATGGGGTTTTGCCATGTGCCCAGGCTGGTCTCAAACTCCTAAGCTCAGGTAATCCACCCACCTCGGCCTCCCAAAGTGCTAGGATTGCAGGCATGAGCCACTGCACGCAGCCAAATAAATGTTAATTAAAATAATGAAATAACATTTTTCATGTAACAGGGCCTCGCTCTGTCTTCCAGGTTTGAGTGCAGTAGCGTGATCACAGCTAACTGCAGCCGCGACCTTCTAGGCTCAGGTGATCCTCCCATCCCAATCTCTTGGGTAGCTGGGACAACAGGTGCACGCCACCATGCCCAGATAATTTTTTTGTACTTTTTGTAGAGACAGGGTTTTGCTATGTTGGCCAGGCTGGTCTTGAACTCCTGGGCTCAAGCAATCCTCCTGCCCCAGGCTCCCAAAGTGCTGGGATTACAGGCATGAGCCACCATGCCCAGCCTGAAAGATTTTTAAGATAAATTTCAGTTTTGGCCAAGGAGTAGCAAAACAGGAACCCTCACATGTTCTGAAAAGAATGTAAATAGAAACCACCTTCGTGCAAAGCCCTTAGCCATATGTTTGAAAGCCTTTCATTCTTTCACTTCACAAATTGAATGTCCATTAGGTGCTCAGCCCATGATGAGATGTGGCCCTTGCCCTCACAGAAGTGACCTTCTTTAGGGGAAGAGACTTTAAACAGGTAATTATACAACCATGTGATTACAACTGTGCTAAGTGTTACTAAGAAATACAAAGTGTTCTGAGGTAATTGAATAGTCACACCTGATTTGTGGTATGGGGAAGGATAGATTTGTCAGGAAAAATGACATTTAAGCTAAGATCTGACAGAAGGAGATGAATTAATTAGGTAAAGTTGGCGGAAAGGGAAGTGAGAAAAGAGAGGCTAGACACAGGGAACTACATACACATGCGAAGGTCCTGAAGTGGGAAGAAACAAAGCCTTGGAAATACAGAAACTGAAAAATGCTTGTCTGGCCTGAGCTCAGGGAGAGAAATGATGCTGGGCCTTCCACACCACAATGGACATTTTGGTCTTTAGCCTAAGCGTAACTGGAAGCCATTTAAGTGTTTTAAGCAGAGAAATAAGATTATATTTGTTTTCCTAAAAGTCGTCTCTGGCTTCAGTATGAGGAATGGTGTGGAAAGGGAGGGCAAGGGGTGCAGACAGACTAGGATGAGGCCATACAACTATGGAGGTGAGAGAGAGTAAGCGGGGTAATGCCCACTAGCGGACAGCTGTGGAGACAGACAGAAGCAGGCGGATGCTAGATATTTAGGATGTAAGTCACTGAGTCACAAGACACCACTCAAGACAAGCAATCAGAATGACTCAGAGGTTCTGGTGTAAGGAGCGTCACAGATAGTGCTGCTAATGATGATAATGCTCATATCCTTTGATCCAGTAACTCTCCTAGGAATCAATCCTAAGGAAGTAATCAGAAACTTTGACAAAATTTGTTTGCAAAGATGTTCACTACAGTCTTTTTAAAATTTAAAACTTGTAAGCAATCTAAGTCATCAAAACTTTAAAATAAATTATGATACTACCAAACAATAAAATATTAGGTAGCCATTGAAAAATCATACAATCTCAAGAGAAGCTGCTCAGAGTAAAAGAAAAAAAAAAGCAAGCTATGAAAATTAATACAACTTTATTTTTAAAATACAGAAAGGCCTACATGGGCATTCCTCAAAATATAACTAGTGGTTATCTCTGAGTAGTGGGACATTTGCAAGTCATATACTTACTAAGGGTAGTATCCAGAATACATAAAGAACTCTTATAACTCAATAATAAAAAGACAAAAACAATTAGAAAATGGGCAAAGGATTTGAATGGACATTTTTCCAAAGAAGATATACAAATGGCCAATACACACATAAAAAGATGCTCAACATTATTAGTCATTAGGGAAACACAAATCAAAACTATAATAATACTTCCCATACACTAGAATAGTTATAATTTTTTTTTCTTTGTTTTTTGTACTTTTAGTAGAGACAGGGAGGGTTTCACCATGTTGGCCAGGTTGGTCTCAAACTCCTGACCTCGTGATCCACCCACCTCGGCCTCCCAAAGTGCTGGGATTACAGGCGTGAGCCACTGCATCCGGCCTAGAATAGCTATAATTTTTAAAATGGAGTGTTGGCAAGGATGTGGAACAAACTGGAACTCTCATACATTGAAAGTGAGAATATAAAATGGTGCAGCTGCTTTGGAAAACGGTTTCTTAAAATGTTAAACACAGAATTACTGTATGACCCAGCAATTCTACTCCAAGAGAAATGAAAATACATGTCTACACTAAAACTTGTACATGAATGTTCATAGTAGCATTATTTGTAATAGCCAAAAAATGGAACGACCCAAATGTCCATCAACTGATGAATAGATAAATAAAATGTACATATTCGTACAACAGAATATTATTTGGCAATAAAAAGAACTGAAGTACTGACACATATTACAACATGGATGAACCTTGAAAACACACTAAACAAAAGAAGCGAGGCACAAAAGGGCCAATATTGAATGATTCCACTTATATGATATATTCTAAGTAGTCAAATTCATAGACACAGAAAGTAAATCAGTGGCTGCGAGGGCCTATGGTAAGGCAGAATGGAAAATGATGCCTTAATGGGTACTGGGCTTCTTTATGGGATAATAGCAATATTCCAGAATTAGATAGTAGTGATGGTTGTACAATATCGTGACTATACTAACAACCAATGAATTGCATACTTTTAAATAGCTAAAATGCTCAATTTTATGTTATGTAGATTTTATTTAATAAAAAAGAACATTGTCTTTACTAAAAGCTCAGAGTCGTTTCTCACAACCTCAGAGAGTTATTTCCCTTTTTTTTGGTGCTTAAGTATTAACTTGAAAATGTCAAATTACTGTGTCTCATCTATAAAATGGGATAATAGCAGCACTATCCTAAGGTTTTAGGAAGATTCAGAAAGCTAATACCGTATGTGCAAAGTATTCACAATGGTGCCTGAAACAATAGCTTTAAATAAATGTTAGCTATTGGTAGTATTGTACTTGCAATCTAACCAGAATGTGAAAAAATTACTATTTCTATTTTTATCCAAATTAGTGTCTAACAGACACTTCAATGAGAGGCAGATTTCTTTGACTAAAATCAACAAGGAAAAGGCACAATTTGATTTTTATGTTATTGCTGCTGGTCTAAGATTGAATTTTAAACAGTTTGATCTTTGATTATAATGAGATGACAAAGAGTTCCAGGTATATTCAACATGCTACATCTGTCACAGGAGTACAAAGGGGTTCCAGACACCAAAAACTAAATAATTCTGTCAGCAATGCTACAAGGTCAAAATGAGAGAAAGCAGGTTGGAGCAGCAGGAAGGGAAGCTGGGGACTTTTCTAGTTCTCCTGAGCTGTTAATAGATATTAACAAGCTACTTTACCTCAATGCTTAAAAAAACTGAAATTCTAGACTACCAAACTTACCCATATTGAAATATAAGTTAAACACCAGAAAATGATTATAGACTCTCTTAGATTAGAAACAGTAGTTTTAGAGTTAATGGTAAATTATCTAAATTTTAGAGTTAATGGTAATTGCTTTATCTGAAAATAAGGCAAACAAATCAAAATGTTATGTCCTCAGAAAAGAAGAGGCAAAATCTATTTGCTTAAGAGAATAAAAGAGCGAGCTTTACATATGGTTCATGTTTGTGCAATGCAAAACAGGTCAGTCAGTCAATAAAGCAAAGGGATAAAATTACAACCCAGTAATTATACAACTATAAATAGTGCCTGAAGCCACAAATAAAAGGACACATTCTACTTGAGTAAAAAGTGGACGGCACTATTAGATTAGTATTGGTCTAATAGGAACATAAATAAGAGCACATTAACAAAAATTTATTTATTAAATGTCTAACATTTAATGAACCACAATAATGTTTAGCAATATACATATAAGATATATGAACAAATACATTTTGTATGCGGTCATAAACTATAGACTGTTTTGTCTATACTTTATATAGACAAAAACAAGAAACACTTAAGCCAAACTGTTTTCCAAACTTTCCAATAAAATATTCCTGTACGTACAGTGAATGGTGAAAAAAAAAAAAAAAGGACTAGAAAGCAAGGATTTTCAAGAGATCAGGAGGCCACTGCTGAGAATGCAGGGATGCTCCTGAAGAGACATTATGATAGTGATTACCTATAGTCATACCTGTGCTCATGCTTTTCATCCCCATTCTGAATCGTATCCGTTTGCCATGAAGGACCTCCGAAAGGTATTTAGCATTCCAGTGTCGTGCTGGCCAATCAAACACCATGTTACAGAAGATTGCAGGTTGTTGTAAAGACATGATAATTTCTTTTGCTTTCTCTGGCGTAAAAGGTTTGACATGTTCACCTAGAAAGAGAAATGAATAGAGCAATAGATAGAAAACTATCAAGTTTTTTCATACAATATGGAGAAAAAAATAGCTAATATTGCTTTATCATGGCAAATCATTCTCTACAATTACAATGATGTATACATCATTTACTGCTGTTTCTATATACATGTGACCTCAAAAGACCTAATTCTTTTCTTTTTTTAGATCCAGGGGTATATGTGCAGGTTTGTTACATGGGTATATTGTGCAATGCCAAGGTTTGGGTTTCTATTGAACCTATCACCCAAATAGTGACCACAGTACTCAACAGGTAGTTTTTTAACCCTTGCTCCTCTCCCTGCCTCCTCTCTTTTGGAGTTCCCAGTGTTTATTATTCCCATCTTTATGTCTGTGTGTACTTGATGTTTAGCTCACACTTATAAGTGAGAACTTGTGGTATTTAGCTTTCTGTTTCTGCATTAACTTAGGATAATGGCTTCCATCTGCATCCATGTTGCTGCAAGGGAAATGATTTCATTCTTTTTTATGGCTGCATAGTATTCCATGGTGCATATATATATGTATGTATCTCATATTTTCTTTATTCAATTCACCATTAGAGGGCACCTAAGCAGATTCCATCTCTTAGCTATTGTGAATAAGGCTGTGATAAACACATGAGGGCAGGTGAAAAGACCTAATTCTTAAATGATTTTTCTCATACTAAATTTTAAGTGTTTAAATTTTGGTAGATATTTACAATATTCAATGTCAAAAATGAAACTTTAGTGTTAAAAAAGGCTTTCCAACTACATCTTTAAATTTTAGAAGGTGTGATTTTTTGGAAAACACTACTTCCTAAGTAGAGGATTATGTAAGAAATGCTGATGGGAACTACTCTTGAATAACTAGAGTTGCTGCAGTCAGCAACAATTCTACTTGTTATATCACAGGTTAATGCCAGAAAGACTACTGAGTCAATATAGCAGTCAACCGGGGAGGGAGAAGGATTATTTTTATTGCAATTTTAAAAGGATAAAAGATGTACTTAGATGGCAATCAATATTAATCCTTGGTTTCAACTGCATCTATAAACAGTACAGAAGAGCTGTACAAACCAAAACTGTAATTTAAATAAATGTCACAGAATCATAAAATATTAATCTTGGATAGGAGAGCAAAGATTAGTATTTTTTGAATAAAAGAACAAGCAAGTTTCTCTTTTAAAGACATCTTAAGATGGCAAGTTTTTTGGGAGGTTTAAAAAATGCTTCATACTCTCTGACCTTCAAAACATATATTTATGATTATCAAGAACAATCAGCTAACCCTCTATTTTAGTTACTTTATCTATAATTACACTGAATTCAAAACATTAAGAAAAATTCATAAATAGTCCAAATTCTTCTATCACCCAACCTTCTTCTCTATGATAAAAGGAAGAGGGATAGGGAAGGAATCATCAAAGAACTTGAGTAATTTGTGTTTGTCTAAAGGTAAGGCTTGTTTTTAAAGAAACTGAAAACTTAAATCAGTTTGGCCTCCTTTCTCAGACAAGGACAAAAACTTGGAATCCCTTCTTAAGCCCTCAGTGAAAGTCAGCAGGCTCTAAGCCCTTGGTAGATGACATTTGAGAACAATCTGTTACCTTCTACACAGTCATCATTCTAAGTGAGAAGGTCAGTGTGGATGCTCAGAGGGGAAAGGCAGGAGAGTCAGGGACTGCATGCAGTGAGGAAGAGAAGGCACCCTTGGTCTCACTGAAAAGCAGCCCCTGGTTTATCTTCAGGTGACCTCTACAAGGTAAAGAGCCCTGTAAAGGATAACATTATGTGACCAAGAATACAATTTTCTGTTTTTCCTTGAGATGGTTGCTTTTTATTGTGTTTTTCACTTTTGACATGTACAGCAACTTTGCATTCAAGTTCTTCATCCATTCCATACGGGTCTATAAGTCTAAGTACAAGGTTACCTATATTGCAGTGCACCAAATCTTCCTGGACTTGGTATGCCTGGATTCCGCATATATGAAAATGAACACCTACATTTTTTTATTATATGTTTTTAAAGTTTTGCTGTAGACTACTTGTACAGAAGGTCAAATTTCTCCTCTACCCTCTTAAAGTCTTTAGCTCAGACTGACATAAAACAGGTTAACAGGGAAACGCATACAAACATTATTCAGAAATTTTTACATGTACATGGGAGCCCTCACAAGAAAAATGAAGACCGAAAGAAGCAGTTAGAGCTTAACATCTATATAGTAGGTTGGGCAAAGAGTAGTAAATTTTGAAAATGAGACAAGACAAAGAAGTTGGGTGAGTACAGGTAATTGTGGAAAAGTGACTGGGAAGATAAAGGTTGGTTTAACAAGGTTTGTTAGTACAGATTTCTCTCAGCCTTTATTACCCATCTTTGGTTACAAGAATGTCTTCCCTGTTCCTGGTACAGGGAGGGCAACTTTCACATGGAAGTTTTACCTCCCGCTTTTGGGAAGAAAAAGGGAGCTCAAAATGACCCTGCATCTGCTGTTTTTCAATTTTTTTTTTTTTTTTGAGACAGAGTCTTGTTCCGTCGCCAGGATGGAATGCAGTGGTGCAATCTTGGCTCACTGCAACCTCTGCTTCCTGGGTTCAGGCGATTCTCCTGCCTTAGCCTCTCAAGTAGCTGGGACTACAGGCACGCACCACCATGCACAGCTAATTTTTGTATTTTTAGTAGAGACGGGGTTTCACCATGTTAGCCAGGATGGTCTTGATCTCTTGACCTTGTGATCCACCCACCTCAGCCTCCCAAACTGCTGGGATTACAGGGGTGAGTCACTGTGCCCGGCCTTTTCAATGCCTTTTACCCCAAATAATCAATGTACCAAAGTGGCATATTTGGGGGTGGCATATTTTGATCCCTACACTATGAAAAGCTATAATATATTCATGATAAATAGTATTCTATTGTTCATGGCATATAAATTGGAATCATCCTTTGGGAAACAACTGGGAAAATGAAAGAACTGTTCATTATCTCAGTAACTCATGTTATAGGAATTTACTGTAACAAATAATTAATCATGAGCTATGTATAGCATACACATACACACACACAAATGTCTACTACCACACTATAACAACAAAAAATGTAAACAACCTAATGCCCCAAAGCAGAAAAATATTTACTAAATTATGATAAGGCAATCCCATAGTATACTATACTCACTAAAAATGAGGGCTGTCTAGAAATATGTAGAGATGTGAGGTGGGAAGGGAGAGTTGGACCTGAAGTTGACTCAGAGCTATTGCAATAGCCAAGTGATAAGTATGGTACAGGCCTGAACAACAGGGGTGGCAGTGAGTAAGTAAGAGATGGTAAAGATGAAGAAATACTGAGAATAATATCAAAGGCTATTACAACCAGAGATGTGGGGTGGGAGTCAGATGTAGCCACAAAACTGAGTTGTCTAGACTTGGTGACTTGCCATAAGAGAAGAGCAATAACTCATTCTGTTAGGAAGATGAGTAGTTTGATTTTGAACACAGGCACCATAACGATACCATACATTTAATTGTTTAATGCTTCACTGTTTACAATGCACTTTTACATTAAAAGTGCTCATCTGATCTTATAAGAAGCCTGTAAAACACAGGCAGAGACGGTAATTCATTTCCATTAACTGAAGGAAGAAATGGAAGCTTAGATGTCAGAGGACTGGAACCAGATTTATCAGGTCCCCTCAGTCCAAGTCCAGTGCTCTTTTCACTGCACAATCCTATTTCTAGAGAATTGACTGTGCAACTTAACTAGGGCTAAAAACTCAGAAGAAAAAATATAAGCTGAAAGGATACACAGGAAAGCTCAAGATCAATTCATAAATAATCATTCACATGTGCTCTGGGGAGAGAGGAATGTTTTGAGGAGCGCATGAGTTGTATGTGCATGAGCACACATGGCAGGGAGTGCTAGTTACTTTTGACAAAGACTCTTTGCTTGGCCAAACTTTAGTCAGGCTTTGATTCTTTTGCTAGGTCCATCTATGCACTTCCTTGTAAAACCCAGTTTTAGGCAAGAACCTTGCTAAGTCAGTTTAGCAAGAATTGCCCCCATCCCTGACATCTGATCAGGTTTTTCATCCTCAACCGACCTCCAGGTGATATCTGATCACCTTGGCCTGCCTTCAGCAAGAATCCTGTTAGGTTGGTTTAGCCAGATTTCCCCTTACCCCTGGTGTTTCCTCTTAGTAATTTCTCATCCACTGACTCTGCTCCTTGGCTGTAAATTCTCACTTGCCCATGCTGTCTTTGGAGTTGGGCCCAATCTCTCTCCCCAACTGAGAGACCCCGTTACAGTAGTCCTTATATCTATGGTGATGGTCCTGAATAGTCTTCCTTACCATGCTTCAACAAGTGTCACTGAATAATTTTTTCTTTAACTTCTGCTTACCCAATACTCATTCTCTTCTTCCTTATTAAAAGAACTTTGGGCAACAGGAGTGACTGAAAAATTTTATTTCCCAGACTTCTTTGCAGACAGGAATAGCCAAATATAGATAGATAGATAGATAGATAGATAGATAGATAGATAGATAGATAGATAGGGAATATATATATATATATAATTTCCATGTGTGTATATGTGCATGCGCGTGCACGCTCATGTGCACATATTGAAGTTGTGAGTCAGACTTTTTGCCCTCATCCTTTTCTATATACTGCCTGGAAAGCAGACATAATGTTTAGCCCTCTTGAGAGACAAATGAAAGGTCCAGGAAACTGCAAACCTTAAGCAAAAGAATGCAAATATGTTCATCTTCGTGCTACTGAACCAACTACTACCTCCTGAATCATTTTAGATTTAAAAAAAAAAAACCTTCTAGTCAAGACTGTTATTAATTCATAGCTGGTATAACACCTTGCTTTCTGAGGCCATCATTTTCAAGGATAACCATATTCTCCCTATACAGTGCTCTGTGGCTTGGGCTGGATGAATCATGGCTGGTCTGACACACAGTCTGACATACACAGTTCTAAGGTTGTAAAATACT